ACATGGTAGGTAGACCCTGGCTAAAACTGGGAAATTGCCAGGAAGAAGAAAAAGATGTACAGAATGAAGTTAAGTAGTGAATTGAGACAACTTCTACACTGGAGTTTTATGAAGTGTGTTTAATATAATATATCGGTGAATCAAAGATTTTTTATTAAAATTCAATAAACAATACAATTGAGATAATTTTTTTTTCAGTTTATATAAATTTATTAAAATTGTATGGAACGAAAAGATTCGTTAATTTCTCGACGGATTAATTAAGTGCATGAAGTAATTCAATTAATATTTAATATCGTCACTCGCTGCAATCACAAGCTCTGAGTTTTTAATTAATGAGTAATAATATTATAAACTTCTCGTGAACTAAATTAATACGTTAATATAAAGTGACTAGTAAACCTGGCGAACTCCGTTTCGCCACCAGGAGGCTTTTATATAACATTTCGTTTGGTGATTAAAAGATGAAGAATTTTTTGTGTTTTATATTTGAAAAGGAAAATTTTTATTTCATTTCACAACAGTAATTAATTCATCTCGATTACCAAAATGAAGTGTTATTTAGTTGAACTTCTCTAAGTAAATGAAAGTGAATCCAAAGTAGATACCGAATCGGAGCGTCATACGTGTCCGCAAATTATCCGTTTCATTCAAGTGGTCCTTTGTAAACCACATTTTTTGCTTTTTGGTCTAACTTTAACACAAATAAAGCGAATGGTTTCCAAACTCGTGAACACGCTAAATATAACGCCCATGTGAAAAACAATGTTTTCTAAATTTATCCCGCAAATACTAAATGGTTTTAAGAGTTCAAACCGGTTTGTCACATGAAATTAACTGAGCAGAGAACAATGAGTAGCTGTCAACCAATGTATCATGCACCGGCACCATTTACTTAAAATATTGATTTGTAGTACATGTTATGTATGATAGCGCTGTATGTGAAAAAAGATTTTCCCGCTTTTCTGTTGAAATTTTTGGTTATAAATCTCACGGAGCCCGAGACCTTTCCAACGAATGCAAAACCGTGGAATTTGGTTCTGAAGATGGAAAACCGGACTTATTTTTCTATAGTAGATCTCTTACAAATATCTAATTGTCATCATTACGTCATTATTCGTCAATTGCATAGCTGTCAATTGTGTTCCGTTATTCCACGTTTTATAGTGACTGACGTTTCATGTCAAGTCCCACGGGAATGCTGTCGAACGGGATAAAAAGTATCCTATTGCAATTTCCTGACTCTAAACTACCTCCCTGCCAATTTTCAGCTAAATCGGTTCTGCCGTTCTTGAGTTATAAGTGGAGTAACTAACACGACTTTCTTTTATATATATGTATATATATGTAGATAGATTATATAAAAACTAAAAATCACGAAATGAAAATTAAGAATAAACATATTGTATTTGATGACTTTATTAATAATAATTATTTCTTTTAGTTAGTAATTTGTCATAAATTTTCGTGTTGGTAGTTGGGCCCGAAATATAATTTTGTGAAAACCCAGTAGTTGCTCAAGTTGTGATATGTTGCAGTTAACCTTTTAAAAATAGTGCTTATAATAATATAATGAAATCGTTTCTTAATTTTTTTATACAATAAACTAATTTAAAACATGTTTAATATTTATTCAGATATTAACACATTGTATATGATTTCAACAAACACTGTTACCAGCAGACGAGAGAGATTCAACAGAATGAAATCACATTGAAGAGAAGCTAATACCAGCGGAGCTTGGCCGAGGAGAGCTTTGTTCACTCGCTTGGAACGGATTCAATGTATCACAAATGACGCGGTTTTACTTTTAATTAAATACAGAATGAAGTTAATTATGTTATATACCATTTATATTATTTTGAACATATTTTACTTTGATAAACTATTATGTAATGACTCGTTTTTGTGTGACATTTCCAAATCCTTAATGTTACAGGGGTTTTGCAAAACAAGTTTTTTTCTCACTTGAACACAAAAAAATAAGTTAAAAATGTCAGTTACGAGGAAAAAAAGCAGCTTCATCATATTTAATGCAAACCTGTCAAACAACTCTATGATGACACAAGTGTAGATTACAGATTGTTTTACTAAAAATATATTACTAAATTCACTTAGCATTTAATACATATATTATGGTTACTTGAACGGTCCTCACTTATTAAAGTGCTTGGATTTCAAGATGATGGGGTGGGTCATGGGTGGATGGCTTCGGTTCACAATAGCGCTTACAATTCTTATTTACCTACTCAAAGTCAAAGAAAAAGTATTTTATTATGAAGTGTTGTAAAAGTTGGTGTGTGAAACTTTTCAAATATCTTTTTTAATTTTTGTACTCTTTAAAAGTAACTCTCGAGTTACTTTAAGACAAAAGCGTTTCATCGTTAACAACATGACTATGATCAGTACGACTCACTAGCTAGATAGAACTTTTCTAATATTTATTGAGATTAAAAGGGAAATATCTTTGAATAACTAGTATGAATCAGACCCACAAAGCCCAGTCTTGCCACAACAGAGTTAGTTGTTATTCGGTAGAAATATTGGATGGCCCTTTTAAATGGTGTCTTCGAGTTTATGATCCAGATAACAATATTTTGTTGTTTAATTTCTTAACAACCTATATCGTTTACAAGAAACAAATACAACGTCACCTGTGGACTCAATAAAGAGTTTTATATTCAACGAAATTTTAAGTTATTAAATGTAAAGTACCTAAGTATATTTTGAAATACGAGTGCAATTAAAATGGTTACAAGACTTCTTATATAATTTTAATGACGATTTAGTTTTATGGATGTCCTCGTAACAATTCAGTTTCTGATAGATAATATTAAGTTCTTCGTTGTATTGACTATTTATTTTGACAGTTTTGGTCCCTGGCGCGTACCTACTGTTTTTTGGGTTATACTTTACAATTTTTAGAAAATCATTTATATATTTTATAATAAGGTCTTTTTGTCCATTTTTTTGTCGGGATACCAGTTCATCTTGTAGTTTTTTCATGTGTTGTTGTTAATACTGAGTTTAATCGGTGTTAATTCGGATTTTGCCTAACTTATGTTTGTGTTTATTTTTAAGTATATATTTTGCTGTTTCCTTTTTCTCGAAGCACACTTTTAGAGATCTATCTTTATTAGGGTTGTATTTTCCTAGCTTAAAGGGTTTGGGCAGTCCCCTTAAATAGCTTCAATTAATCTCATAGTTTCATTCTTGTCATAATCACATTTGATTACGCTACTAGGACTTTTTGATTCAGGAATCCCTACTAGTATGACATTTTTTCCTCGCTGAGAGCGTTCTTGTAGCTCTGAAATGGTTTCCGTGCATGACAGGGGATATTCTTTGGGATAATCAGTTTTAGAGTTATTTTTTAAAAACAAATATCATTTTCAAAAACGTGTATTTTTTGTTCTATAGTATCAGTCTTATTATTATCATTTGAAAATAAAAAACAAGGCAAACAAAATAACTTACTTGTGTGTACATAACCTGCTTACTAATTAAAACTATCATAATACTTTTTATTAAAACGAATAACATTAGCTTTCTTTTAATTCAATCTGACCTGGTCACACGCCTTCCCTTTGTTATTATTTTAATTTTATGATAACAAAAAAAAACGCTATTACAAGTATATTTTTTTAAAAAGATTAAAAGGACTGAAATAAGTTGGACTTAAAAATCAGCAATATACAGGATGACTGGTGAATTACTATCGATACTTGAGGACGTGATATCTGACGATCATATATGACAAAATAAAAATTAATATAACATAAATATTAATAAACTTCTAAGTAAAGTTAACCAAAAGTTATGTAATTAATAACGCATCGTGTGAACACCCTACAGATTAGGTACACACACACTCACACATACGCGTGCGGCGCCGTGGTGTTGTATCAGAACGCCGCCGCACGCGTCCACACTTGGAACACTTGGAACGTGTCAACACTTTATTAATTTATACGGAAATTTTGTCAAAAATTAAGTACCTATTTTTTTTACATAATTCGAATGAGAATCATGTACCGAGTATGCTCCTTAAATATTGATAGTAATTCACCAGTCACCCTGTATATATATACACATTTCTTTTAATTTATTACATTAAAATAAAGTTTCTGCTTAGATATCAACTGTATTGATTGAAACATTCGTAATATTTTTCACTCAAACATTTTGTCGTCCTTCCAGCCTGTTAGTCCGTCCAACACTTTCTCCATTAGAGGGTTGTAACCCAAACGAGTCATCTGTAACAGAAGAGACGATATAATTATAATGTTTTTTTTAATGTCCTCAGTTTAGTTCGTCGCATCATTTCCATATCACCTCAGCCCTCGCCTCTTGATCCAACTCGACCAGTCTGTCCCTCGTGTACTGTAAGCTGCCCGCCTTCTCCAATAAAGACAAACAATATTTCTTCAAATTGATATCACTTGTGCGCTTCCGTAATATATCTGTGATTTCTAAGGAAATCGTTTGTGAGACATACAAAAAAAAAAGTCAAGTTTTTAGTATTATGATATAGTAGACACTAGACACCTTGTTTAAAAGTTTAACGAAGTCTGTTAGTATTTATTTAATTTTTTTGTACTTAATGTTTATTTGTTATTACAAAGGATACGCAATACTTCGGGTCCATAAGGAGTCTTCGACGCATGTATTATGGGTAATGAATATTTGCCCTCCGTTAAATCTAACCAGAATCTCCCGTCTTTGTTCAACTAAAAGTTATAAAAAAATATATTGTTACAAAAATAAAAATTATGGTAATGGATGTTTAAGTCTAAGTACTTAAGAAAAATTACAAAGTACCGGGTCGAAGTCGAGACATATTTTAACTCAACTATAAGTATGAATATAAACATATACCTCGTGAGAGCGGAAATTACAATAATCATCTCGGAGCTGCGAGTAATATCCAAGTATGGACAGTAACTTATCGTAATCTCTTTTATCGTCGCTCAAGAGTTGTAACAACTTTATAACGAGAGTTATGTACGCTCCGGTTTCTAAAAATATATATAGTATTTAGACTTAGTTCACCAACACTTATAAGTGAAAAGAAAAATTAACATCTCAGTTAAGTTGTAAGACATGAGAGCCGATCGTTGATACCTTTACAAAAATGAAACAAAAGAGATCAGAAACTAATAATAACAATCGCCACTGTATGTAAGCAGTTCTAAACTCACTTTGTCGAGACATTTTTTCGTATTGTTTCTCGGTTGGACAAATAAAATTGTCGATCCAATATATTTCAGTGCCTTGTCCGACCCACATTTCATGAAGTTGATCAGCTACTAGTTTAGCGCCCTGGTGATAGGAATGTAAAACAGTATTCATTATTTATAAAACCTACAAAAGTACTAATAGTGAACAAATACTTACCACTCCATTGGGTATTAATTCGAAGGCCTTTTGCGAAGCTTCTGATAAATTGAGCAGAGCGCTGTTTAATGTTAAGGCGACTCCATACACAAGGTGAGCTGTGGGAACCTCGCGTCTGACGGTCGAGCCGTCTTGGATGTCGTCAATCCTTTACATAATATGTATCAACTAATTATTGAATAATTAAATATTTAGAAAACTTTAAAACACATCAATAAATAAATATATTTAAAAAATTCATTAACTCAAAGCAATAAATCAAAAAATATATAAGTAACACTAATTAAAAATTCTAATGATGTAGATATTTACCTTACTCTGATAAAGGTAAACTATAAAAAATATATTAAATCAAAAATTTCATATCCATTTTAAAGTTTTAAGCTGAATCAGACAGATTGTGTTGACTTATTAGTTAAGATAATCATAAATATTACAAAAAGTCTGTATTTATTAACAGTTAACAAATATCTCATAACTCGGTCTCTGGACGTAAACACATAGTTAATATGCTTAAAATACAAACAAGAAGATTCCTTTGACCGCTGTGTCCGTTACATAGTTTCCTTTAAGGAAGTCTTCCTCCGAGAGCTTCAACCAGTAGTTGAATGCACGAACCATTTTATTGATGAACAGCTTTTCTAGAACTTTTCCTACGTGTCTAGAGGGTGCTAGGAGTTCCTGCAAAGTTAATTATTATTATTAATTACACAACCGCTATATTCTCCACAGAACTAAACTGTACTAGTAATATCCATCGTTCTACGATGATGGAAGTGAATGACACAACAACACCTTTTCAAGATTACAGAGATCCGAGATTTGGTTACTGTCTTCCATCTTAAAAATAATAAGAACAAAAAAAATATGTTGTTAATACTCCAAGCGCAGCTGTTTAAGTGACTGATATTTTTTTCCCTTCTTATATTTATAAATCCAAATTCTAACGTCATCAATTTCATGTTATCATACATATTAAGGTATATCTAAGTATTCTAAAATATGTCTGTACCCGGGATAGACGTGAGATAAAAAAATAAATTCAAATAAATTAAAGTGTAAGAAGGTGAAAGTGTAAAAGAGTTATGTTCCAGTATCTCCTTATGTATCAATTATATGATTGTATTGAATGTATCACGCGCAGGGACGGGGACCACAGTGACTATGTCGACACGGACGGACAGACGGTATTTTCATTAGTTAAATATACATTTTTGTTTCGTTTTTGAGAGTCCATGTATGAATAGTTTTAAGTATCACCAGCGAAATTACCGCATTTCATACAATAATAAATATAACTGTCCGCTGGTAGCGTAATGTATTAATAATTAGTATTTACATTTGAAAATAGTTGATGACGGAAGACATTATACTGTAACGACACAAAACATTTCATTTCAATAAATATACCATTACATGTCATTTATATCATCGTAATCTCTGTATTGATATCATCATCATTTAACAGATGGCGTGAGTTTTATAATACTGTATTACCATAATATCTTCACTAGAAGCGTCTGTTAGTGAGAGTAACAACATTTAGTTATACGTTTATAATAAATACCTTTTTTTCTTATGAGATTGTTATTATTAAACAGAGTGTACTTCAAACGTTTTATTTTATTATCTAAACATATTATAACACGTTATCTTTTTTATATAAACTATCTTTAAACATTGTCAACAATATTTATTAACAAAACCTGACTTTTTTAAGTGCTACTGAATTTTGATTGTATCTGAGTTCTATTCGAGTACTTAATATAGTAAAATAAATAAAATATTCATAATGTTTTGAGAGTACATTCTCAACTCTTTTCATACACAAATGAATATAAATGGAAAACAATATAATATAAATTGTGTATATATTATGTTTTATATAAAATTCATGAATTTCAGATCTTACTGTTTCGATAAAGAATTTATTATGTTACTACAAAATATGTTAATGTATAAAATGTAACCGAGTCATACAACAAAACTATCTTTGGATTGGAGTTTGTAATATCAAACATAAAATATAAACATTCTTTTAGTCATGAAATTTACAACTTTTCTGAGAAAAAGAAATTCTTTTCAAAAACAGAATTTTTAAATACTCTTTTATAATTTGAGCTATTTTCAACATAACAAAAGCAGTTTCATACAAAATGAGAGAAATTTCTGTTTAATGATGGCCATTGTGTTTCGTTTCAAGAAGCTAAAGAAACAATGAACACACTAAAGAACAAACGGACAAACGTTTGATGACACAGCGTGTGCCGACCTGACTCCGGACTCTGATTATTGTTTGTTAAATGAAAAGATTAAATTCAAATGTCTCTTGTAATATATATATATATGTAGATCAGAAGGTTCGTGTTGACGTTATATTATAATTTACAACAATTATGATGGCTACGTTCCAGTAGTTTAAAATAACGTTTTTCAAGTTTTTATTTAACATGCAACGTCTCTTATCAGTATGTATGTAGAAATTCAGTTAAAATGTCAACGCATAATTATAGTAATGTTAATATTTCGATTTTAATACGATACGGATCAAGGTGTGAGGCGTAATGTATAATACATTACGAAATATATGTATAAAAGGAAAATACTTGCTCAGGAGAAACTAAAAATAATGTGAGACTATAGTATGAGTTGGAAATGAAACAGTTTACTGAAAATAAGAATGTAAGTTTAAAAATGACAAGCCACAGATTACGGACAGCACAAATGTGAATACTACATACCATCCATCCGTATAGACGTTAAAAAGAAGGTATTTATTTCAATTAAAATAGCTGTGTTTAATTTCCACAAAATATCATTTCACTGCAAAACAAAGAATGCTTATAATTATATGTATTATGTTGAACTTACATAGTACGTGGATCACAAAATACAGAGTAGTAGCGGCCACCAGGAGATTGTATTCTTAGGGTCAGAGCTCTTCGCTTCTGGTCAAAGAATAGACAGTTTGAAACTAACGTGTAGAGGAATGTGTTTAGTAGAACGAGTAGACTGAGAAACGCGTCCATATGCAGCGTTAACCTAAAACATTGAAAATAAAGTAAAAGTCTGTAGTAAAAGTTTTAAAACTTCTGCAACCTTTTTTTAACTTCTTTATAAAATTTACGTCGCGGGACTCTGCTGTATGCGGGTGGCACAAGACCGGTCGTCGTGGAGATCCTTGGAGAGGCCTATGTCCTGCAGTGAACGTCTTTCGGCTGAAATGATGATGATGATAAAATTTACATGGTGTAAAAGTTTATCGCGTGTCCAGAGTATTCCTATATAAAATACTTAGTCCGAACTTTTTAATGCTTTAAATCATTAATATTACGTTATTAATTTTTTTGTAACATAATGGATGTGGGGGATGCGTTGCCGACTTTAATTATGGGAGAGGAAGGGGGGCAAACAACTCTCTCACTCAGGGGACGAAACGCAGACATTAAAGACTACTTCACGAACATCTGTGAGAGATTTGTTATTGCCCGGTCGAGCCAGCCCATGTTCAAGCTGTAGAATTAATCACAACTAGGCCTTATCACCTAAAAACATATTGTTATAAATATTTTATTAATACATTTTTTGACATTAAATATTTAAGGTTAGAGGTTAATTATATTAATAAAACTACATTTTCATTAAAATGCAGTGAAAGAGGTCATCATATGGAATTCAATTTTAAAACGTACTGAGGAGCAAACGTAAATTGGAAATTTTTCGTTTCAACGAATCTTCAATTGAAATGAACGCATCCGATAATTCTTTAATATCTTGAAACTCTAATCAACGGGAAGGAACTAAAAACATTTCTTTACATTTTTTCATCTACTGCCGACTTCTTCATGTGATAATTATTAACCTGTTTGTATATATTTAAATGTTTTCTTAGATTTTTATTATTATTAAATTTCTCATGTTAGTTATTCATGTCTACATTTCTATCGTTGGTTATGTTCGGTATTCGTTTATTTGTTTTTCAACACCTCGTCTTTTCTGACATCATCTTTAGCAACTTTAAAGTTAAATTAAGTTAGATTAATTTACAAAATATATTAACATTATTCTGTAAATCGTGAAACGTATACTTTTCAAGTAAAATTTTATGTCGTCTCTTCTAATTTTTACACCCTATTGTTGCATTTCATATTAGTTAGTATTGAAAAGGAAATCTCATTTCAACTCATCTCGTATCAGCTCACCTTCCAGCATTTATATTCTCACTCATTCAATGAAAATTTCAGAAGCACTTAATATATGTTTTAAACAAGTTTATTTTAATTTGTAGTGACACATACATTTGACGTTCTAAGTCAAGTGTATGTGTCAATGTGACATTTTCTAGTATTGTATGTGTACAAATGTTAATAGGTAGTATGAAAGATAAGTCACAGAATAATATATCATATGAGTCTCATCATGTACACACACATTAGTATTTAATTGATAGCTTAAGACTTTGAATTTGAAGATTATATTTATTGATGTTATATTATGTTTTGTGTTTATAACAAACTCATTTGAAGGATGTATATACGGAGTCCCAAAGTGTTATTATCTTCATAAGCTTAACAAGTGCAAGTATTACTGCTTAATAAAAATCAAAGACAATACAATACATCCACAATAACTATAATTCATTTCAATGCAACAATAATAATTTTCTTTATGATAAATGCGGTTTATATTAATATTATAAATGATAACAGTTCAAGGTAAATCTATTATAACAAAAACTTTTAGCCCCCTCTAGTGACATAACAGATACTATTCTTTTAAAAACTAATTATTCTACAGAAAAAGGTATGATAAGCATAATTAGTACATACAGAAATAAAACATTTAAGATGGGCAATGTTTTGTCAGATTATAAATAACAATAAAGTAATTGAATTGTATCAGAGAAGTATATTAAGTACATTGGGTTAAATAAAATAATATGATCCAAAAGAAATTATATATAAAAGTTGTACAGTAACTGTTAAAGATAATGTTTGACAAGTGTTAATTCAATATAAAGTAACTAAGTAGCAGACAAGTTGGAGATGTGCTGCTAGGCCGGCTGTGTTCATTGATAGTTTTCATCTAGCACTTGATGATCAGCCGTCATCTCCTGATGGATGAATCTCAAGTACAGTCCAATAACACCATCTGTAATACATAATACAATATTGTTTGTATATAAAGACATACAAACACTTCAAGGATGGCTTACTGACACTTACTTCAAGGATGGTTTTAAAATAAAGTATAAGATGTCTAAAAAAAGTTACGAAAACACTCTTATAAAATACCAAACTAAAAAGTAGCATATTTGTAATTATTATGCATTCAGTTGAATATAAATTAATAATTAACAAAATATAAGTGTTTTATTTTATTAATCATTTATGTATTTATTTTCAACTCATTAATTCCGCTAACTACAGATTGTTTTGTTTTGTAAACCATTATTAATAGCATAATGACTGTTAGTGATTATAATAACAAATATTATAAATGCGAAAGTAAGTGTCTGTTTGTTTGTTAAGTTTTCATTCCTAAACCGCTGAACCGTTTGTGATGAATTTTAGTATGGATATAAATGAAGCCCAGGAAAAGGACTTGGCCTTCTTTTTATCCTGATTATCCGTTGAAACAATCCCGACCCCAATCCCAATACGCGGGTGGAACCATGAAGTGGAAGCAGTTCAGGTTCAGTGGCCTTAGTGATAGAGAATAACTGTAATGTACACGCTGACGGAGAGAGAGAAAGTTACTATTATAATTACAATCTTTCATTTAATTATTTAATCATTACGACGTGTCGGAAGCATTCAGTTAATGTAATAAAAATATTG